AAACCGATATATGTTTGGACAAATCATACTTTCAGAAAACCTATCCACAGTTTGACAAGTTCTCAACATGTTTCTGATACGTATGTAGTGTCCAGATAAAAGAGTTACGGTCGTGTTGCTTGAATCCGTTTTCACGATGTAACGATATGTGATATCACCAATCTGCTTTATAGTCGTCAAGTTGGATATCAGATTTGTAGTTTTACATACTATACGGGATGTCAGAGGCATAGTTTAGTAGAATTAAATGACCTGATTTTGATACAAGATGCTGAGGTTAATGCACTGAGGAACGCTACAGACTACCCAGAGGAAGGACAAGACGATACTATGTAACGCTTACTTGATGAATTTGTATCGGTATGAGCCTACAGACAAAAACATGTTAAATCGTGTAATGCATTATTGTAACATAGGAAAAAGGTGTTCAAGCAGTCCAACAAACACTTTCCTTAACGAAATATCATGGCAACGTCCAAAGGTAGCTAAAGGACTTACCACCGACAGAAGGATAATAGTGAAGGATGAATCCCAATACTTCACAGCACAACGTTACTGAAACAAACATCCTTGTACCGATCTACACCGCTCACTGGTAAAGAACGTGTGTTTTGTATTGACTCAGCTTCCAAGTTAACACAGTCCTTGTATTGATGCCATTTTCCCAATATTTTCGATCTCCGTCAGTCTTTTATTTCATATATAGATACATGAAGTACATGATCAATATTGTTTTTGTTCGGTTGACCAACTGAGTGTTAAAAAGACGTGCGTAAATATTTCCCTGGTGATAAGCACGGTTTGCATAGAACTGAACCAAGCCATATTAAAATGTTTTTCAGAGGACGTCAAGGGAATTCGCAGTCATAAAAAAGATACTCATTTTCGGAATGGATGTTCGTGCTCCTATCCACTACTCTCCTGATGCATTCTGAGAAATGTAGATCCAAGGAATGAATCTTCAGAGGGAACTTCTGAGAGAATCGTTTACGTCTTCACCTGTTTGTTTGCCAAAGCAAGAATTTGATGTGACGTTGCAGAACACTTGTTTTGCTGACATACTGTTGCTGTCTATACTATGCAGGGGATCACATCCATTTGATAACGTAATCTTCTGAAACATAATTTCTTGCCTAAAACCATTTTGACGGGTCACATCCGACATTTTATTATGTACTTTTACACACTGTCTAAGTGTTTGGCGAGAAAGTCTTATATATCCCATAAAAAATCCGACACATGCCCACGGGACCCTATAGGCTACTGCGGAATTTCTCTTTTATCAATCCCTGTAAAATCTACACGGATATACTAAATATGCGTTTTTCGAAATGGCTCGAGAACAACAGCTTGCTCGCATAAGACCAGAACGAATTCCGCAGTAAACTAAGTACATCAGGATATATCTACACCTTATTTTAATCATTAAAAACTGGAAGTCGGTAAACCTCCTAACATATGTATGCTACAGCGACGCAATGAAAGCGTTTGATCGCGTTAACCGCGAGTGTCTGTGGTGTAAGCTTCCTAAAAGGAAAATTCTTTATCGCTATATGAAAGTTATCGTTCGCGTGTATTCGTTAATGGTGATATGACCAAAAGTTTCGCGGTAAATAGCGGTGTTAAACAGGGGGATGTTTTGTCGCCAACACTTTTCTCTATTTTCATTCATTATTTAGTTCAAGAGGTTAATGATCTTAATTGTGGTATAAAGGTATATATTTCTATTGTATGCAGGTGACATTGCTCTGACAGCTCCTGATGAAGTATCTCTTCAACGTATGCTTGATTGTGTCAGTGAATAGTGTAAAAATAGCGCCTGCAAATTAAAAGTAGAAAAGAACAAGGTCATCCATTACAGCAACATTTCCTCTGTGCAGTCATCTTTTAATTCTATGATGAGAATATAGAAGTAACTCAGGCTTATAACTATTTGGGCATTTAGATTTGAAGTATACAGCCAAAGCCCTTGCTAAATCAGCCTTTAGGGCGCTAGGTGTTATTATTAGTAAATTTACGTCGGTGGGAGGCATGAATTATGAAGTTTTTACGCCATTACATGATAATTTAGTTCAACCGATTTTATCGTATGGGTCAGCAATATTGGGCACAAAAGAGTACAGTTGTACAGTTGCATCAACGCTATCCAAAATAGAGCCAGTAGATCTTTCTTAGGAGTGGGTAATAAGACACTCAAGGGGAAATAGGTTGAATTTCTAATTTCCCAAAACAACATATCGAACTTGTTCTGAGCTGAGGGTAACACTTTTTAGTCTTGCCTCTGCTATCCTACCAAATTTTAGCCAACTATCTAGTTCAGATGAAAGTACATATATTATGCTGTGCAATAAGTTATCGAATACCATAGGTGCGCTAATTATATATAAAACTATGTTTAAACGTAAACTGTTCAACACTCCCACCTCCACTGATATTTTAACCTGATGTCTTATGACACTTTTTAAATGTAAATGTTTCGCTAGACGAATAAATTCTTTTTCTTCTTCTTCCTTCTTCTTTTGGGCGTGATGACCCGTGAAGATCCGGGTTAGAATAGGTCTTCAGCAACCCATGCTTGCCACAAAAGGCGACTATGCTTGTCGTAAGAGGCGACTAACGGGATCGGGTGGTCAAACTCGCTGACATGTCATCGGTTCCCAATTGCGCAGATCGATGCTCATGCTGTTGATCACTGGATTGTCTGGTCCAATCTCGATTATTTACAGACCGCCGCCATATAACTGGAATATTGCTGAGTGCGGCGTAAAACTAAACTCACTCACTCACACACTCTTGGGCGTCTGCCGTCTAACCCGCTCAACCACCCCGACTCTGAGGGTGTGCGTTCAGATCCCGGATGGGACTAAACCCATAACGAATGTCATATTTGACCACTTTCTAAATGGCATTAATTTCTAAATGGCATGTTTAAAGGGGTGCTAACATAACATTCAACTCTGTATTTACTTGTATATCACAGGTGTATAAATCTGGCCATTGTTTCCATGTATTTAGGAGCAATGCTGTGAATGTAAAAAAATTTCAGTACCTTTAAAATTTCGTATGACCATGGTTAGGTTTGTCCTATATTAAATACACTCATAAATATGGGTAAATGGAATGTTGCAACATTGACTCTAATTTAACATGCATTTCAATGCTTCGGTAATAAGGAATGAAAATAGAGTGATAAATCTTAGGGGAACTCAATGATTTATGGAGACTGTACCCATCTGAGCGTAAATCCAGCGAGTGAAATGTGTAAGTCTTCTCTACAAGGACAACATGCATCCACTATTGTTTTTATTCATGGAGTCATCATATTTTATTTATAGTTGTGTTACAGTTTACTCGTTAAAACGAATTTTCTGTTGTCGGAATTAATGATAACAGAAATCGGGTCTTTGATATACAAACCTTGTGTTCCAAAGTTGATAAGAAACTAAAAATGCTAAATGGTTTTGTTTGACGTCAGACGCAACTACTTCTTTAACATGTTTAGGTAAGCTGTGTTAGTGGCCTGGGACACTTTACGGTTAGATGTCCAGCAGAACGTTAAGATTCAGCAATTCCGCTGAGACGTAGGAACACTGCGCCAAACTCTGGCCTCTAATGTGGCAAATGAGAGTTGAACAATGAAAGCTGAGAAATAGGAATATCGATAGGTACTGAGAAACACAAAGCGAAATGATACCCATGACTACCCACCTACAATTTAAAGATTTGCACATGACGTTTGTGCCTTTCTTGACATACACATGATGGCTGTTTAAAATTTCATTGGTCGAGCTTTGGGCATTCTGTGTGTTTAGTAATTGTCTTTTTACATGCTGTATAAGTGCAGGATCAATAATGAATAACTGTAAGATGGATATTATAAGTGATTTGCATCCGAGTGTTTCGGTGGTTCCTTGTCTTTATACGTCAACAACGGTAAATTGCTCTATCTTATGTTTCGCTGTCATTAACTTCGGCACTTTCCCATGCCGTTAAAAACTGTTATATGACTCCTTTATGTTTGAAATTTACAGCAAAAAACAACACTGACAATATTTCAACCTGATCAGGCTTGCTTCAATACAAAAAAGACTGACCCAAAGCGATGTGTGTTATGAAGTGTGTGCGTGCGCATGTGCGTGTACGTGTGTGTGAATGTGAGAGAGAGAGAGAGAGAGAGGAAGAGAGAGATAGAGAGAGAGAGAGTGTGTGTGTGTGTGTGTGTGTGTGTGTGTGTGTGTGGTGTGTGTGTGTGGTGGTAGGATACCAAAAAGCCATTCTGATGGGTGTGTAATATATTCTAAATCTTTTTTACTATGGCAATTACATTACATTGTAAATAGTTGACCTTAGGCTTGTCATATATTTAATACACGTGTAATTTGACAATGGGTAAATAATGTGTAACAACGTAATATGACATGAATTTCAGTGGTATATTACTGCCAGATCGGTTTCGCAAGCGCGTCCGACCACGTCAAAATGTACTTCGAATCACACATTTCTGAAATGGTGAGTAACAATATCTACTTCACAACGACCATCACATCGGTTGGTTATATTAAACCAGAACGATAATGTATGAGAATATGTATGTGCCTCTCTTGGACCCCTGATGTAATGTTATACACTGATAGTTTATTATTTGGGATACAATGGCATAACAATATTTCTCTATGCAATCGTTGCCGCGTTCCATAATACAATTTGCTAAATACAATACCCGTTTTCCGTCATTGAACTCGCTGTTTTTGAAGAAGTTCCCCGAGATGCTTTTTGTCCAGAAATTACGCCTGTGAAAGTGCTCACATATGGACGATATTGGGTTGCTTGAATCTAGAACATTTGACAATGTGTGTTCATCTAGTACAATTTCACAATTGAAAACATTTTGGTTGCAAATAAATTATTTAATGCCATTTAATGCCTATATATAGTCTGCAGGTAACTTTAGTGCATCTTGCCCTTACTAAGTACATTATACACAGAAACAACACTCACAATACATAATACCCATTTATTAACATCAATATGAGATTTACACATAGTGAGCAAGGAGCAATTATATATTTAGTCTTCATACTGTAACTAAAGTATTAAGACAAAGTCCATTATGCAATCCACCATGACTTTAGTAAATAGTGGATGTGCATGTGGAAATGGAAATGTGTGATTATTTGGATGGGTTGCCGAAGATCAATTCTACACCGAATTTATCCAGTAATTTATATAAGATGACATGCAGGTCCTCATTTCGCAAATGCATCTCTCCGTGAAGACAGCTGTTAATGTATTTAGGAAACTGCACACCATCTTAGTATGATGTGTTAGGGGAAATGTTCTGCATCGATTCACATGAGGTAAGAAAACTCCTTTAAGTCAACATAAATCAAGGCTAATCCTAGAGTCGAAACAACGATCAAGAAGTAGCACTCCAGCCGGCTGCACCACCTATATCCAGTAATCACAAAACGAACGTTGACAGCGTGTGATGTCACTAGGATCGGGCTCCTCGTAAGTCTGGCTAGCTTCATAGGCACAATAGGCCCCACACTATGACCCTGGATGAATATTTATCATGTCAATCACTGGAATTTGGGGGCTGGATTCATTTATTTCTGAACTGGACATGTAACTGGACAAAATAAGCAACAAACAAGCAAGAAATTAATTGAAACACATATATGATTTCTTTTGCAAACTTCGCATCCTAGTTTTTTGTTGGTCAAGATGGGCATCTCAGTTTGTTTTGTCGCAGTGATGATGATGCATAGTCCACTTGTATGCCTGCACGGTTATATATGAACAGTAATAGTCAGTCACCAAGGGAACATATTATGCAAGAGCCGCCTTCCTCATACATCGAATCCTACACGAGTTGTGCTGGAGTTTCAGAACAAATGGCCTTGTAATATGTCCATCCAGATTTAGAGTAAAGATTTGCCAGTGACACAGACACAAACTCACAGGTTCCATTTCCACTGCTGCTGTCCAGGATATTGAAGTTGAAGCCATCACATGCCCACATAGTTGTACATTCAATCATGCAGGTCTTCAAGCTTCCGATGGTTTCATGCCTGGGTCTGGTCGTGAGGTACTTGTCCGTGTAGGGCACAAATGTGGAAGGGTACCTCTGACTGAAACTGCAGTTGCTTTCTGAAAGTGTCAACGAAACAGTTCGTATATTCATACAGGCAACTGTGATCCATTGATGACATGATCTCTGACCACACACACTATCTATCCATATTGTCTCCATAAGTCAAATTGAATACTCGACATATATATTTTGGTAGGAAATGTATGTTCTGATATTTACAGTAGACGAAAAAGTGGGCAGTTCTGAGGCAATGATGGTTTTGTTTTGATTTTGTAAAATCTAATTTCACAAATGTTGTCTATGCCACCTAAATAAATCAAATAGGATCATTTTCCTTCTGTATGTGAACTTCCGTTGTGGAATTGACTTACTATAAACAGAGAAGTGCACCCTATTTAGCAAACAGTTACGTAACACTCCATGTCCATGTTCCGTTACCCGTACAGTCTTTGATCTGACCAAATACCAAGGCTCTTCGAGAACATTGTTTCACTGACCATATATCTTTGGGTGGACTGCCACTTCACACAAGGTCAGCCTGTCCTGACTATTCAGATGTTGCCTCTTCTTTATCCGGACATATCGCCCCTCAACCGGATACATGCATCTAAGGGTTTCAGTAAGTGAATCCCCAAATTGCCCAAAGAAGGAAAAGCACAGCTGACCGTTTGCTCCAGGGTCAACAACTGGGTCAGCTGAGAATACTTCTATGTCAAAGTTGTGTAGACGCCAGTCTGGAACCAAAGTTTTGTGAAAATGAGACAACTATGATACTGAGCCTCACAAATTAACGGCAAGGTTAAACATCCTGTCTTCAGTAATAACTCTTGGTTCGACCTTCTTATGGGAGGCTGTCGAAATAGACGAATGATGAAGCGAATTGTTTCATATTATACAAACAAAATAGTAATCACTCTACCTATTGATGTGTACGCACAAAGCAGAAAAGCTTAATATTTGTGCACAGCCCAACAGCAATACAGACGGTTTCATGGCCTTAATCTTGATACACTGTTTTGGACACAACCAATTCTCTCAATTTTGTGAATCGTTTGTTCTTGCCTGAATAGCATAAGGCACCAGTTCAGCATTTGCCTGAAGTACGTATATGTGCGTCGGAGACCAATTCTTGTCTTGAAATTTCAGACTTTAAACTATCACAAAAGTGAAACTTTTATTTCTTCAAGAGTATATAAAGAAATAACCATACACTACTGTTGATTTTTGTATGTGAAAACTGTGAAGAGAGAGTAGGTACACTCCAATCTAGTGTCTGAAATAAACATATATTACATAAAAAAAACGGTTCTTAAATCATAAAATATTATGAAAGGGTGATCAGAGACTTTTTAGGGAAAGCGAGGTAATCTAGACCTGCCACTTATTCTTGACTGGCACTGGCTTTCTCTGATATATTTGTTTCAGGGCCTCTATGAATGACCAGTTATTGTGATGGACATGTAACTCCTGTATATTAACCAGTATGTCAGTTATATCCCGGCACAGCACAACTCACAACACCACAACGACTAAAATGACTATAACAATTTAACATTGAGTTAATGATAAAATATACAAACTCTTTGTTGAATGTAGACATGAAAAGATTGTGAAGGTGTTCAACAGATGTGAATTATCAATAATTACGATATTCGCTGGATCTTCTGTTAGCGATGGTGACCGCCTCAACGTTGACGACCTTTTGCAGATCCACCCGCCACCACGGCAGTGGGTCACCAGTGGAACTGGGTGTGTACGAACAAGATGAACCTTCAAAGATAAGATCTCCATTTCCGTCCACGGCTCGCCCCGGGCCAGCGGAGAACCCAATAGAATTCTGAATAGCAGGTTTCCCAAGGGCAACGTTGTCAAGGCAATGTGCTGAATAAAAGAGACATCAGCCAACTATTACTCCCAGCCAACTCTGAATCAATTTGATTTTAGCCCAGTACTTAATTTCAATACCGAATGTCCGAAACATAAGACTAGTATTTCCTGCCAATACTAAACGTCCCAAGTATGAGACCAGTCTTCCTGTCAACCCTACTGACAATATTTATCAAATAATGTTTCATCAAAGTTGGTGAATGAATGGAATACATATGAAGTTCAGACTAATAGATTACCTCACTGGAGTACATGGAGTATCAAATAGACACATGCATTCAAGAAGATTCAAAAAGAATGTTTGGAAAAATCATGCTTTCAGAAAACTTATTGACAAGGTCTCAACATGATTCTGTTTGGTTAGTAGTGTACACATAAGAGAGTTACGGTCGTGTTGCATGAATCCGTTTTCACGGTGTAACGATATGTGATATCACCAATCTGTTTTATAGTCGTCAAGTTGGATATCAGAGTTGTATTTTTCCAACTATGAAGGGATATCACAGGCATAGTTTAGAAATAAATGACCTGATTTTGATACAAGATGCTAATATCAATGCACTGAGGAAACCTACGGACTACCCAAAGGAAGAACAAGACAATGCTAGGTAATGGTTATTTCATGAATTTGTATCAGTATGAGCCTACAGACCTAAACATGTCGCATGTATCCGTTTTCACGATGTGATGATATTCTCTGTATCGTTTGTTGATGTTAGAAACATGTTAAATTGTAAGAAAAGCAAAATTTATGGATGTCAACTTCTTTTTTGAGAATAAAACGACGTTTTCTGGTGTATGCTTGCTCCTTGGACATTACCTGATGAAGGAGCAAGCATACACTCCGAAACATCGTGTTGTTACCAATAAAGAAATTGACATTCATAAATCTTGTTTTCTTATGCATTCCGCTTCTAAATACCCTCCAAAGGTTTGATGTTAAATGGTGTAATGGATTACTACATAGGGAAACGGCGTTTAAGCAGTCCAACAAACACGTTCCTTAACGAAATATCATCGCACGTACAAAGGTAACTAAATGACTTACCACCGACAGAAGGAAAATAGTGAAGGATGAATCCCAATAGTTCACAGCACAACGTTACTGGAACAAACATCCTTGAGCCGATCTGCACCGCTCACTGATAAGGATCGTGCGTTTTGTATTGACTCAGTTTCCAGCAGTAACACAATCTTTGTATTGATGTATTGTTGCCATTTTCCAATATTTTCGATCTCTGTCAGTCTTTCCTTTCATATGTAGATACATGAAGTACATGATCAATATTGTTCTTCTTCTTGTTCGGTGAGTGTTAAAAAGACGTGCGTAAATATTTCCCTGGTGATAAGCACAGTTTGCATAGAACTGAACCAAGCCATATCAAAATGTGTTGCAGAAGACGTCAAGGGAATTAGCAGTCATTAAATATGTACTCAGTGTCGGAATGGATGTTCGTGCTCCTATCCACTACTCTCCTGATGCAACCTGAGAAATGTAAACGCAAGGGACAAGGGACGAATCTTTAAAGGGAACTTGAGACAATCCTTTATGTCTTCACCTGTTTGTTTGCCAAAGCAAGAAGTTGATGTGACGTTGCAGAACAGTTATTTTGCTCACATGCTGTTGCTCTCAATACTATGCAGGGGATCAAATCCATTTGATAACGTTATCCTCTGAAACATAATTTCTGGGCAAAAATCTTCTTGATGGGTCAAGTCCGTTGGCAAAGCCATATGTAAAAGGGAAAGTAAAGTGAACTTGACTGCAAATATGCTGCGAACTTTTCTTCCTGGAGACAATAAGTCAGTTTCTGAGAGAAAATAATATTACTTACACAGAAAGTGTTTATATATACACGTGAAGGTACGGATATTTCTGGTAATTCTTCAAAATTAACAATTACGACCGAGATGTAATTACAATACATTATTATTGGTGCAAAGTAGGTAAACAATTACCTAAGATGGGAGGTAATGTGTTATTCATCTCGCGTTGTGACACTGCGAATATGCTACGAATGGTGATTTTTTTCCTGGGCATTACATGTAAGGTTACATTATACCTGTTTTATATATCATAAAAGGTTTTTGTTTATAATTTAGTAGAAACAGTGAGGGAGTGACTTAAACGCGTGACTAGAAAATGTAGAGAGACATGATAAGTACATGAAGTTTATGTAGCCATGTCACCGAAGGAAGTAGAATTACTAGAGTATAACAGATTTGGTTTAAAACAAGTTTGTAGCCATGAAAATTCATCTCCATTCTTAATAATACAATGTAAAACATGCAATAGATCGCGAACAACTGAAGGTAGATCACCTGACTAGGGACCGTGGGGACTTAAAGTACTTCTGCTTCCTTCATAGAATTTTTAATTATGTGGTTTAACATATGTTCTCAGGGGAACATAATTTTACACGACTATAATCTCCTCAAGGACACTGCAACTAACCATCTATGTTACAAATTAAACACCGCCAAACTTCTTCTTAAAAGCAAAGGCACCCATGAAGGGCCACCTCCTCGTGGTGGGTGCTGGGTCACGCTAAACGCCCTTCAACCCCCTGTTGTGGACCCGGGGGGATATTTGGTCAACCAACCCGTTTGCCGTGGGTTGTCCCCTGTGTCGGTGGAGGACGGGATTCTGGTGGTTGGGGGCAATAGGATCCTGGAACCGTGTTCCTGTTGCCCAACACACCACTTCGGCCCTTACTTCACCTAGGCGGGTGGTAGAACTGGCCCGGTTCTATTAATCGGCTGGTCACGTCAAGCCCTGTGCATGGTGGTTATATTTGCACAATAAATTATGATTGGGTCTTGGAAATTTTGATTTTCAATGTTTAAATTATTCATAACTTTAAATTGCCTAGAGTCCTATGCCAGAAGGCGGTGGCTCATGGGCCAATCTGGTGATGTTGACCCCTGGGTAATGTATGTCTCCAATTTCTTGTCAAGGGCCGAACCAGTCTGGCATTAAATTGGTAGATAAATACAGCTATTCATGTCATATTCTCTGGTGTATAACACCCCTGTATCCCTGGTGTCAGCATCTTGGATATCCGATGCATATTGACACAGTCCTTGTTGACACTCCATGGTGGGTGGGGAGCAGGGGTGTCGAATCATTTCCTTTCGCCATGGCACTATCACATGCTGGTTCATCTCGTAGTGAAAAGAAAAGACGTTTTGAAGATTTAGATCCCACATCTGTATCAAATTCTTCTGACAGTGATTCTTGGCCACGATTTGTAGTCATTGAGGCTGTAGATTTCCTGCCAATCAAATTAAATCCGTTTGCCATTTCAAAGGCTGTTTCTGGTATTTGTGGTGAAGTAAAGAATGTCACCCGTCTTCGTAGTGGTTCACTTCTTGTGGAGTGTGCACGGAGACAGCAATCTGTCAATTTGTTATCCATCAAAACATTTGCCAACATTGAGGTTGCTGTGTCTGTGCACAGAACGTTAAATTCCTGTCGCGGCATCGTTCGTGACAGAGCCAGATGTCTTGCTGACATGAGTGAAGAGGACATTGCCACAGAACTAAAAGAACAAGCAGTGACGGCAGTAAAACGTTTTACAGTCAAGAGAGATGGTGTTATCATTAACACCAATACGTATCTTTTGACGTTTGCTCGGTCTCATATTCCAACATCAATTAAAGCAGGATATTTCAACATCGGAGTGGAGGTGTATGTCCCCAATCCACTCCGGTATTATAAATGTCAGAAGTTTGGCCACGGATCACAGTCTTGTCGTAACTCTCTGGTGTGTCCCCGTTGTTCAGACCACCATGAGGAACCAGATTGTCAGAAAGATAACAAGTGCGCAAACTGTGAGGGTCAGCATCCTGCTTCATCCAGGGCATGCCCTGTGTGGCAAAAAGAGTCCAAAATCATGAGACTTAAGTGTGAAAACAATATTTCGTACTTTGAGGCAAAATAAATGTTATCAGGCCAAACATCAACTCCATCCACTGTCACATATTCTGCTGCAGTTACACGCTCTGTAGCAACGTCTTCTATTTCCTGTCAGACTGACTTGACTTGGGTCAAGTCAGTGAAACCTATCGTGTCAGCTACTCTAACTACGGCTGCAGTCACTCAGTCTCCACCCCTGGTCACTACATCTACGTCGGGAAGCCAAACAGACCGTCTGCCTGGCAATTCATCTCAAACGTCTTCGTCTCAACCGTCAAGTGCAAATACAAAGAAAAATAAGAAAGAAAGGAAACTAAACAAAAACAACCCTACCATCCCTTCATCTTCAGAGGTTCCTCTAGAAAACTCTTTTGGGACTCTAGATATGGAGGTTACTCTGTCTACACAAGACAGACAGAGGAACAGTTCCTCCTCACATTCAAGGGAACGATCGCCAATTGAGCCACCATGACTCAGTTGTCGACTTTAATGCAGTGGAATTGCAGAGGATTGAAAAATAACTTCAATGAGATTCACTTGTTGATACAAGATTGTAAACCATCAGCATTATGTCTTCAAGAGACTTATCTAAAAAATACAAATAACTTTAATCTGAGACAGTATACTGATTATCACTCCTTTTCTCCTCCAGGAGATAAAGCAACTGGGGGTGCTACCATTTTGGTGCGCCAGGGTATTATTCATAGCCCTGTATCTCTGAATACCAATCTTCAAACTGTAGCTGTTCGGCTGACCTTGCACATTGCTTTGACTCTGTGCAGCTTGTATCTCCCTCCTTCTTCTGACATTCGACTGTCAGATCTTCAAAATTTATATGATCAACTTCCGAAGCCATGTCTCATTATGGGCGATCCTAACGGACACAACCCGCTTTGGGGAAGTGCCCACATTAATACTAAAGGTAAAACACTTGAGGATTTCATTTCCGATAACAATTTATGTATTTTCAATGACGATTCAGCCACCTATTTACATCCAGCTACGGGAACATATTCTTCCCTGGATTTATCACTTACTGATTCAACCTTATATAATGAATTTGAATGGACGGTACATGATGACCTATGTGGGAGTGATCACTTCCCAACCATTCTCAAAAATATCAACCCTGGTGATGATCCACCCTTATTCAGAAGGAACTTTGCCAGGGCTGATTGGTCATTATATAAGACTCTGTGTGTTGAACACATTAAGCATGATCTTTTTAGGAACAGTGAAGATCCTATACAGTCTTTTTCGGATATTTTAAATGACATTGCTGACAAAACAATTTCACAGTCCTCTACAACTCCACACATTCGTAAACCATGGTTTAATAATGAATGTAAACAGGCCAGAAAGTGCAGGAAGAAAGCGGAAAAATATTTTCGCAAACATCCTACTGTCCATAATTTAGACAAAGTTAAAATATCAAATGCCAAGGCTCGACGTGCCTTTAAACAAAATAAGCGTCAGTCTTGGAGGAATTTTGTTTCCAAAATAAACTCACGTACACCTATGTCCAAGGTGTGGAACATGGTCCAAAGAATTAAGGGCAAAGGTTCTAAATCTGCTGTACACCATCTGAAGGATGGTGATAATCTTAACTAATAAAACTGACATAGCAAATAAAATTGGCGAAACTCTTGCCAAACATTCTTCATCATCAAATTATGTCCCTGAATTTCAAAAACACCAGAAACAACAGGAGAAGAAAAGAATAAATTTTAACTCAGACAATGGTGAAGATTATAATGAACTATTTTCACTCCATGAGCTACATACCGCTCTTGAGCAAGCTCATGATACAGCAGCAGGGGCTGATGATATCCACTATCAGCTCCTAAAGCATTTGCCTGAATCGTGTTTGGAAACACTGCTAAATATATTTGATATGATATGGACTTCAGGGAATTTCCCAACTTCCTGGCATAATGCCATTGTAGTCCCCATTCCAAAACATGGCCGGGATCATACTGATCCGTCTAATTACAGACCAATCTCTTTAACGAGTTGTGTCTGTAAAACCATGGAACGAATTGTAAACAATCGATTAACATGGTATCTTGAAACCAATAACCTTATCACCAATATCCAATGTGGTTTCAGGAAAAATCGTAGTACCATTGATCATTTGGTACGTTTAGAGTCCTTCGTCAAAAATGCAATAGTAAATAAACAACATGCAGTATCGATATTCTTTGATCTCGAGAAAGCATACGATACCACCTGGAAGCATGGCATTTTGCAGGACTTACATGATTTTGGTTTGAGGGGCCGTTTGCCTCTTTTTGTATAACAGTTTTTAAAAGGCAGGCAATTTCAAGTCCGAGTGGGTTCAACCCTGTCTGATCATTATAATCAGGATCAGGGTGTCCCTCAAGGCAGTATTTTGTCTGTCACTTTATTTAGTATCAAGATTAACAGTTTATCCAAGGTTTTAAATGATTCAATCGATGGATCACTTTTTGTGGATGATTTTAATATTTCTTGTCGTGGTAAAAATATGCATACTATTGAACGGCAATTGCAGTTTTGTTTAAATAAAATAAATAAATGGTGTCTTGAAAACGGCTTTAACTTTTCCAAGTCCAAAACTAATTGTCTACACTTTTTTAGAAAATATAAGCCTCATAAGGACACAGAACTATCTTTAAATGGCATTCCCATCAAAGTTGTAAAGGAGGCCAAATTCTTGGGCCTAATTTTCAATTCCCATTTAACATTCCTGCCACATATTAAATCCCTTAAAGCTAAATGCCTGAAGGCACTCGATTTGTTAAAGGTTGTCTCCAATTCAAAGTGGGGAAGGGATCAAACTACCCTCCTTCACTTATATAGATCATTGGTACGATCTAAACTTGATTATGGCTTGATCGTATATGGCGGAGCCTGCAAAAGCAACCTTAAACTACTTGATTCTGTTCACCACCAAGGTCTAAGACTCTGTCTTGGATCATTTAGAACTTCTCCAGTTGATAGTCTCTATGTTGAGGCTGATGAGCCTTCTCTTTCCCAACGCCGTATTAAATTATCTTTACAATATATTACCAAACTATATTCTAACGAGTCTAACCCTGCATTTAACTGTGTCTTCAATCCTCTTTATGAGGATTTGTATAACAAAAAGCCTTCTCTTGTTCCGCTTCTTGGGCACAGAATTAAACCATTCCTTTCTGCTGCTGGTATTGAGCTGGAGAATATATCTCCTTCTCGTCTTTTTTCTTCTCCTCCTTAGCAATTGGTGAGGCCAGAAGTTGACTTAACATTAACCACATTTAAAAAATCCGAAACTAATGATTTACAGTATAAACAAGAATTTAGTCAAATAAGAAATAAATATAATACCTATAAATCCTTATATACAGATGGATCCAAGGATGGTGGCGCGGTTGCTTGTGCCACTGTCATTGGGTCCAAAACAATATCTTCCAGACTACCCAATGACAGTTCAATTTTCACCGCAGAAGCAAACGCAATACTAACAGCTCTTAAATATATTAATAAACACCGTAAATATAAACAATATATCATCTTTTCAGATTCTCTTTCGTGTCTTCAGGCTATTAAAAATCTTTCTTGCAAACATCCACTTTTATTAGAAATTATTGAATTGCACAATGAACTTGCTACTGGCCAATGCGACATCGTCTTTTGTTGGTTACCCAGCCACGTTGGCATTTCTGGGAACACAATGGCTGATATTGCTGCTAAGGCAGCACTCAACAAATCTGTGACACCACTTCTGATCCCATACTCTGATTACAAAGCTGCTATAAGATCTTATATCCGTGATCTGATGCAAAAGAAGTGGGATACCCATGTAGGTATCAATAAATTACATGAAATAAAACCCTATATCGGTTACACTTACTTGGGTTGTCAGTCCAGATTTGAAGAGGTCATTATGCGACGATGTCGTATTGGCCACACAAGATATACTCACGAATACCTATTGAAAGGTGAGGATCCTCCATTTTGTATCCCTTGTGATGAAAGAATCACGGTCAAGCATGTCTTGCTTGACTGTGTTGAGTATTCCATCACAAGGGATAAATATTTTAAATCACGAACTATGAAGGATCTTTTTAATAGTATCAGTTCTCATTTAATTATTGCATTTTTAGATTTGTTAAATGATTTGTAAATACATAAATATTTTAAGATTGGAAGTTTGAATTAGTAACTAAGATTGTTAGTGGCTGTATCCTCGAGGGGGGTTAAAGTACTGTAAAATTATTGTCCTCCTGAGAGGGTATGTAAGTCCCACAACATTCGAAGTAAATTAAAATGTTCCACTTTTTTAATCGTAGAATACCTGTTCTTTTAATGTATGGCTAATTTTGCTAAATTGCTAACGGCTGAAGGGATGGTGTAAATCCAGCTAGTGTCCATGCAGGAAGCAAATGTACTGTAAGTCCCCATGGTCCCTAGTATGGTGATCTACCTTCAGTTGTTGGCGATCAATAGCCTGTTTTTTATATTGTATCGTCTTGTATAGTTCAAATGTTTTAGATTTAGTTACTAGTTTTATCTATATCTGTGATACTCTAGTTATTTTACTGTCCTTCGTCGTCAGAATTTTATAATTTCACTTAAATTGTTGATATATTTATAACTTGCTTTAGTCACGATATGGCTGAAATATTGCCGATGTGACTTAAAATCTTAACTCACTCACTCACTCTTAAAAGCAAATGATTAAATGAGGACGAAACATTTATTTCAATGGTTCGGTAATATAACTGTCACATCGGTTCGATAATTAGAATCACACATTTCTGAAATGGTGAGTGAGTGAGTTTTACGCCGCACTCAACAATATTCCAGCTATATGGCGACAGTCTGTAAATAATCGAGTCTGGACCAGACAATCCAGTGATCAACAGCATGAGCATCAATCTGCGCCACTGGGATCCGATGACATGTGTCAACCACGTCAGCGAGCCTGACCACCCGATCCCGTTAGTCGCCTCTTACGACAAGCATGGGTTACTGAAGATATATTCTAACCCGGACCTTCATGGGTTCTGAAATGGTGAACAACAATAGAGGTATCTACTTCACATTGACAATCATGAACGCCAGATAACTCATGTTTACATACAAACTCTTCGCATCACTCGCACCGAATTTACGTCGACCGAAGCCAGTGTCACTGTATGGAGCCTCAGTAGAGCGTTGGGCAAATACGTGTTGTTATGGCAGCGGGTAATACTTTGTATAGTTGTATCTACTTCACAACGACCATCACATCGGTTGGCTCTATTACACCAGAACGCGATTGTTTTCGAATTTTATAGCACCCTTTCTTGGCCTGTGGATGTTAATATTATTCACTGATAGTTTGTTATTTGGGATACAATGGCATAACATTATTTCTCTATGCAATCGTTGCCACGTTCCACAATACAATTTGCGAAATACAATACACGTTTTCCGTCACTGAAGTCACTGAAATGAATTATGTATTTTCTGTAGTAACTTAATTAAATTGCACGGAGTGAAAGGTTGACCTGATCAATATCATGTATAAATTAAATGTAATCTCCTTTTCTGATAACGAGGGGGTTCGACGATATTGTTCATTATTATTTTTTGAATGATTCCTATGAACAGTGTGGGGTAAGTGCCGGTTCATTATATTTAGTCGTGCTGGCTCTCAAGTACATTTACTGTTGTATCCAATCCCGTTAGTCGGATCTACGACAACCATGGGTTGCTGAAGATCAATTCTAACCCGGATCTAACACAGCAAATCGAGAAAAGAAGAAATTTTGTCGAGTTACAAAAGATTTATCGAAGAGGTATATTATGTAGTACTGTACACCAGATGATTGAGAATATGACCAAATCCATTAGTGACACAACATTAATATTACTGAGCAGTGAGCAGTGAGCAATGATATATTCAGTCTTCATGCTTTAACTAAAGCATTAAAACAAAGTCCAGTATGCATTCTGCCATGACTTCAGTAAATGCTAGATGGGTTGCCGAAGATCGATTCTACCCCGGAATTTATCCAGTAATTTATATAAGATGACATGCAGGTCCAAGTTCCAGTTGAGCCTGGGTGTGTGACAGAGCATAGTCCGAGAAACATCGCCGATTATTGCAGGTACCAATGTACTCCACATATTGGCAATTATAATTCCACCTCATTTCGAAAATGCATCTCTCCGTGAAGCCAGCTATTAATATATTTAAGAAACGGCACACCATCATAGTGTGATGTGTAAGGGCTAAATGTTCTGCATCGAGTCACATGGGGTAAGACAACTCTAGTAAGTCCACGTAAATCAAGGCTAATCCTAGAGTTGAACCAACGATCAAGAATGTAGCACACGGCTTCATGCGCCACCTATATCCGGTAATCACAAAACTAACGTTGACAGCCTGTCGGGCTCCTCCTAAGTCAGGCTAGCTTCATGGGCACAATAGGCCCCACACTATGACCGTGGCTGAATATTTCTCATGTCAATTACTAGCATTTGGGGGCTGGAGTCATTTATTTCTGAAGGGTCATGTAGCTGGACAAAATAAGCAACAAACAAGCAAGAAAGTAACTGAAATACGTATATACATGTAATTCTTTTGTTTTTTTCAATATTCGCATCCTCGTTTTATGTTGGTCAAGATGGGCACCTCAGTTTGTTTTCTCACAGTGATGATGATGCATAGTCCACTTGTATGCCTGCACAGTTATATATGAACAATAATAGTCAGTCACCTCGCCAAAGGGACATGATAATAAGGAAAAGCCAAAATGTCATGTTAGTTTAAAACAAGAGCAGCTCGTTACGATGATCACCTCAGTTTGTTTTGTGACGGTACACACTCCACTTGTACGCCTGAGCAGCTATATCTAAACAGCAATGGTGAGGCACCTCGCCAAAGGGACATGTTGTGCAAGAGCAGCCTTCCTCATGCATCAATTCCTACAGGTGCTATGCCCGAGTTAAGAACAAATGCACGGTTATATATGAACACTATCAGTCAGTCACTCCGCCAAAGGGACATGTTAATATGCAAGAGCAGCCTTCCTCATACATCCTACACGAGTTGTGCTGGAGTTTAAGAACAAATGGCCTTGTAATATGTCCATCCAGATTTAGAGTAAAGATCTGCCAGTGACACAGACACAAACTCACAGGTTCCATTTCCACTGCTGCTGTCCAGGATATTGAAGTTGAAGCCATCACATGCCCACATAGTTGTACATTCAATCATGCAGGTCTTCAAGCTTCCGATGGTTTCATGCCTGGGTCTGGTCGTGAGGTACTTGTCCGTGTAGGGCACAAAGGTGGAAGGGTACCTCTGACTGAAACTGCAGTTGCTTTCTGAAAGTGTCAACGAAACAGTTCGTATATTCATACAGGCAACTGTGATCCATTGATGACATGATCTCTGACCACACACACTATCTATCCATATTGTCTCCATATGTCAAATTGAATATTCGACATATATAAATTGGTAGGAAAATGTATGTTCTGATATTTACAGTTGACGAAAAAGTGAGCAGTTCTGAGGCAATGATGGTTTTGTTTTGATTTTGTAAAATCTAATTTCACAAATGTTGTCCATGCCACCTAAATAAATCAAATAGGATCATTTTCCTTCTGTATGTGAACTTCCGTTGTTGAATTGACTTACTATAAACAGAGAAGTGCACCCTATTTAGCAAACAATTACATAACACTCCATGTCCATGTTCCATTACCCGTAAAATGTTTGATCTGACCAAATACCAAGGCTCTTCGAGAACATTGTTTCACTGACCATATAGCTTTGGGTGGACTGCCACTTCACACAAGGTCAGCCTGTCCTCACTATTCAGATGTTGCCTCTTCTTTATCCGGACATATCGCCCCTCAACCGGATACATGCATCTAAGGGTCTCTGTAAGTGAATCCCCAAATTGCCCAAAGAAGGAAAAGCACAGCTGACCGTTTGCTCCAGGGTCAACAACTGGGTCAGCTGAGAATACTTCTATGTCAAAGTTGTGAAGACGCCAGTCTGGAACCAAAGTTTTGTGTAGGAAATGAGACAACTATGACACTGTACAAAATAGGAATCTCTTTAGTCTACTGATTTATACGCACGAAACACAAAAGCTTAATATTTGTGCACATCCCAAGTACAGACGGTTTCAGTGCCTTAATCTTGATACATTGTTTTGGACACAACCAATTCCCCAAACTGAATTTTCTGTATCGTTTGTTCTTGCCTGAATAGCATAAGGCACCATTTCAGTGTTTTTCCTGAAGTACGAGTATGCGCGTTGAAGTCCGATTCTTGTCTTGCAAACTTGTCTTTAAACTATCAGCCAAAGTTGATAACTTGTCTGGTTTTAATACAAAGAAAAAAACCGGCACCTACAAAGCGTCAACATGCTCCAGAAATAAATCCAATCTTTTCCCAGAAGGCTTGCTACATCGACAATCCAATAAAACCCTGCCTTTAATTTCCTTTCCATGACATTTTTGTAGTCATGCTGTGTGAAAGACGTTCCTTTCTTGAAGAGTAGGATAACCATGCACTACTATTGAAACATTTTTATGTGAAAATTGTGAAGAGAGAGTCTCACGTCTTGTCTCTGAAATAAACATGTATTACATAAAGAACGGTTCCTAAATTATAATCATAAGATATAATAAAAAAAGACATTAGAGACTTTATTTATTTACGGAAACCGAGGTAATCTAGACTTAACACATATTCACACTGGCACTGGCTTTCTCTGAAATATTTGTTTCAGGGCCTTTATGAAAGGCCAGTGATACTCAAATGTACCTCCATTATATTAACCAGTATGTTAGTTATTTCCCGGTGCACCATACCTCACTACACTACATAGTCCCCGTACTTGCAACATGCAGTGTCATTTTGTCACTTTCAGTTTAAGCATTTCGAAGAAGCTGCGGAGATATGATGTGAATATGTCAGGTAAGGACGAGATGGAGCTTTTAGACACTCGTAATTTTATGCTATTGGTAACAATTTAGAAAATTATTACGACGATTTAACATTTAATTAATAATGAAAAAAAACTGTTTCTTGAATATAGACATGAAAAGATTGTCAAGATGTGAATTATCAATAATTACGATATTCGCTGGATCTTCTGTTAGCGATGGTGACCGCCTCAACATTGACGACCTTTTGCAGATCCACCCGCCACCACGGCAGTGGGTCACTGCTGGAATTGGGTGTGTACGAACAAGATGAACCTTCAAAGATAAGATCTCCATTTCCGTCCACGGCTCGCCCCGGGCCAGCGGAGTACCCAATAGAATTCTGAACAGCAGGTTTTCCAAGGGCAACGTTGTCAAGGCAATATGCTGAATAAAAGAGACCTCCGATCAGTACTTTCAGCCAACTCTGAATCAATTCTAATTTAGTCCCGTACTTAATGTCAACACTGATTGTCTGATACCTTAGACAAGTAAAAACAATAATGATAATAATGGTCATTTGTTATGCTCTATAATCCACATACTAGTGCATGCTCAAAGCGCAGGGGGAAGAGGGAGAGAGTTGAAAGCTGGAAGCTGAAAGTCCAAAATATAAGACCTGTACTTCCTGTCAATATTACTGCCAATATTTATCAAATAAGTTTCATAAAAGTTGGTGTATAAATGGATTACATATGAAGTTCAGCCTAATAGATTACCTCACTGGAATACAAGAAGTGTCAAATCGGCACATGCATTCACACAGATCTATGTTTGGAATAATCATACTTTCAGAAAACCTGTCCAAGTTTTGACAAGGTCTCAACATGTTTCTCTTTAGTTCGTAATGTACACATAAGAGAGTTACGGTCGTGTTGCGTGTATCAGTTTTATGATGAAGCATATGTGATAGCACCAATATGCTTATAGACATGTTGGATGTCAGATGTGTAGTTTTACATGCTATGAGGGAATGTCAGAGGCATAGTATCGAAATAAATGACCTGATTTTGATACAAGATGCTGATATTAATTATGCACTGAAGAACCCTGCGGACTACCCAAAAGAAGATCACGACTATACTCCGTATCGTTTGTTGATGTTACAAACATGTTAAATCGTAAGAAAAGCAAGATTTATGGATGTCAACTTCTTTATTGTGAATAAAACGACGTTTTTGGGTGTATGCTTGCTCCTTGCTCCTTGCCTGATGAAGGAGCAAGCATACACTCCGAAACATCGTGTTATTACCAATAAAGAAATTGCCATTCACAAATCTTGTTTTCTTATGCATTCCACTTCTAAATGCCCTCCAAAGGTTTGATGTTAAATGGTGTAATGGGTTACTACATAGGGCAACGGTGTTTAAGCAGTCAAACAAACACGTCCCTTAACGAAATATCATTGCACGTACAAAGGTAACTAAAGGACTTACCACCGACAGAGGGAAGATAGTGAAGGATAAATCCCAATACTTCACAGTACAACGTTACTGGAACAAGCATCCTTGAGCCGATCTGCACCGCTCACTGATAAGGACCGTGTGTTTTGTATTGATTCAGCTTCTAAGATATCACAGTCCTTGTATTGACGTAAATATTTCTCTGGTGCTGAGGACAATTTGCATCTAACTAAAACAAGCCATGTTCAAATACTTTTCAAAACACAACAGGGGAACTTCGTCGAGGATGGGCAATAAATAATGCAAGAAACAATTATAGTTATATTTGTAGACGAAAGCAACAGGATTACTTAAAAGATAGACAACAATGTCTAGAGAATGGTATTAATGATTCCAAACAATACTGGTCAGAACTTAAAGGCTTGGGCGGTCGACGTAAAACAAATAATATTGACATTAAAGACTGGCATGATTTGTTTAAAGATTTATTCTCGTTCTCGTTTTCAAAACTCATTTCAGTACAGAAGATAACTTAACTAATATATCTTTTTTAAAAAGTATAACAGCGTCGTCTCGTCTGTTGATCTGTAGCTCATCCCATGATCCCCTTGTTGAAACTGGCCGTTATATAAACATAAGCCGAGAAAAGGGAATTTGCAAACTATGTAACTTAAAATTAATTGGAGAAGAATACCACTTTTCACTTGTTTGCCCATTATACTTATCACTCAGGGAAAAATATAGTCCATCATTTTATCATAATTATCCGAACACAACTAAATTTTCACTATTTTTAACAAATGCAAATGTGAAAATACTTAAAGATTTATCAATGTATATTTATTGTGCCTTCACTTGTAGGAATAATTTGGTAAATGAATAATTAAGCCAGAAACTACCCAGGGCATGATTTAATGTAAATATGTATATGTTCTATCAATTGTATATAGTTTATTAATATTGGATTGTACTATAGACCCGTAGCCTTGTGAGTACTGGAATAAAGGTTGATTGACTGAATTGTTGTTTCAGCAGAACAGGTTCCAGCCCTGTCGTTGATATTTGCGCAGAGCGTCAAAACACTGGTTACCTGTTTGAACCCCCGTGGCGAATATTTCACTTACCGTGATGATTTAGTAAAAACATTTCATCGTCTGTTTTACTCTATTTCTGTTTCAAAACTTTTGTTTTGGTCAACATTAGTGACTAAGCATGTCCTTGAATGATGTTTCTTTCAGGATTCTGTACATCGGATGATTGTTCATTTTATACTTTAACATTATAAGTAAGGTTCCAATATACCCATTTTATATGTCATAATGTAAAAGGAGCCGAACACTTACATAAAACATGGATGTTTCTTCATACCTTGTTTACATATTAACAATAAAAAACCCGAAAGTGTTCTTGAAAGGAGTGGAATGAAAACTGAATGAATCGGAAAATCAAGCTGATAGCACAATTTTTACCTCATGATATCGTATTTGTTTTTACACTCGTGAACATTACTTAATCTCCCCTGAATCCAAGATTTCTAAAACATTTGGCGGAAACAGTGAGAAATTGAGTTAAAATTTAGGATTTCAGACATATCACTGACTGACTGACTGAGTTTAGTTTTACGCCGCTTTTAGCAATATTCCAGCAATATCACGGCGGGGGACACCAGAAATGGGCTTAACACATTGTGCCCATGTGGGGAATCGAACCCGGGTCTTCGGCGTGACGAGCCAACGCTTTAACCAATAGGCTACCCCACCGCCCCTCAGACATATCATGACTAGCAAATCTAAATATACATTTTACAATACATGCAGTTAATATACAATCTTGTCATCAAAGGACAGTAAAATAAGTAGGTTATCATAGATGGTGTTTCAAACTAGTATGTTACCATAAAATTATATATACTGAATTATACAATATAAAGGGGCTACAGATCGCCAGCATTAAAGGTAGATCACCTGACAAGGGACCGCCCGTGGAGACTTACAAATTGTCCAGCTGGATTTACATCATCCCTCTTGTTACTGGCGATTGTATTGAACTCAAACAGCAAACATATCATCATTAAAGTGGTAAGAATAAATATTTTGAAGGATGTGGTTTTAGATATGCAAATGATTGACTGAGAACTAACGTGATAAAAAAGGATCCTTTAAAGATGAAACTTTGAAATAGTTATCCCTTGTGATGGAAAAATCCACACAGTCAAGAAGGAATGCTTGACCATGATTCTCTCATCACACGGATACAAAATGGAGGATCCTCACCTTTCAACGGATATTCATAAGTATACTAGGCAGCAAAAGAAACGTCAGTTTGGAATTTTCCTTCCCAGAAACGGATAACTGTAAACTCATTTAATGTTTTGATTGTATATTTTTTTACAACATCTCCAACTTTACCTGAGCAAAGACATTCCTTCCTAAACTCAGAATGGAACCCAGGAAATGGTGTCAAAAACGCAACCTGATCTCGGAGATGGTACGGTGTTCTCCATGTTTTTTTATGCAACTCATGCTGCACGTGCTGCTCACAAGGACCAGCCCTATAATGCACCCACAGGACGACAAGACCGCCATGCTGTGCGACAGCACGTATAGAATCCCTTCATGCAGACATCCGAAACAGCACGCCAGACAGTGGGAATACACGGAAGACCAACCAGTACTGATACAGTACGCCGACGTCTTAACGGCGGGAACCTCCATTCCCGTAGACCTTACCGTGGACCTATCCTCACCCCTCGTCATTGGCGTGAACGTCTACAGTTTGCCCTACAGCACCAAAACTGGCGATACAGGCAATGGAGAACTGTTCTGTTCACAGATGAGAGTCGGTACTGCGTATCAACTGCAGATGGCGACGACGACAACAAGGATATGGCGACGACGTAGCCAGCGTTACTCAGACCAATGTGTTATGGAAAGAGACTCAATGGGAGGTGCAAGCATCATGGTATGGGGTGAAATAGGCCTGAACCAGAGAGTGGATCCTGTCGTGTTCCAGAACCTTGGTCAAGGGAGAGGAGGCGGCATCACAGCGGTGATGACATCGACCAAGCTCTCAGACCCCACGTTATACCACATTACGCACGTCACCGGAACAACATTTTCCAGCAAAGTAACGCCCGGGCCTATACTGCCAGAGCGGAACTTCCTACAGCAGAACGGTGTCAACATTATGCAGTGGCCAGCCCTTAGTCCTGATTTAAACCCAATTGAACACCTTTGGGATGAAATTCAGAGGAGACTGAATAATGTCGAACACAGCCGATTTATTGCGCCAGTCCTTTCTCAGAGTGTGGTTCCAGGTGTCAATGGCCTTCATCAATCAATTGGTGCACTCCATGCATAGACGCTGTGCTGCAGTTATTGCCGCTCGTGGGGGTCACACTAAATGCTGAAGTCAAGAGTCTGAATGGACTGCAAACGTTCACGTAATGTCTTGAAATTGAGTTATTTATTGATGTGTCAGAATATTGTACACAAAAAATGTTTTTGATCCGCTTATTATGTCCATTTC